TTAGGACAAGGAAACAAACAAAAAATATCTCCTTTTATTACATACATAAAATAAGTATAGTTTGCATGTAGGAAAAAGAGTTATTTCGTTTCCTCTGTTGTCGGTAGCGTGCGGCATGGTCTGGACGTTGACTCATGCGCACTGCAGAATCCTGTTTTGAAAATAAAGTCAACCTTGCATTGGCCGTTGAAACCAGTCAAGCATTGACTGACTGATGTCTGAATTAAATCCTTTGTAAAATTATAATTTTTTATCATTCCACTGAGTGATATTTCGGTATTGATTCTTGTATATTACATAGTGTTAGAGTTATAGTGTTATTCAAAACAATGAACATATGTTAGTCTTTTGAATACAAACTCTCTGGACTCTGACCCTCGAAACACTAACACCAAGTTAGTAAAACAAGTACCCAACGTAGTTATCGTTTTTGGAATTATGTACCTACTTTAAACTTCATGAGAGCAACTCCCTGGGGATGTTGTGCTGGCAAGTATTTCGAGGGCCGCCTAAAGAGAACACGGGTCAAGGCCAACTCACGGAATACGATGTTCCACTTACAAAACCAGTTAGCCCTTCTGAATACTTATGCGCATAGAAAACCGAAAATTATGTATAATATCTTTTTACAATGTGCGGTGCAGATATTTTGTTTACGTAGTTAGATTAGATTTTTTTGGTTTTTCAATGTGCCTGGGGAAATTGAGTTGATTCTTGCTTCTTACACCTTGTGGTTAATTTAAAATCAGTCTGGTATTTACGACTAAGTACCGTATGCCTGTTTAATTTCACTATCCGTTTAGATTTAGACTACATTGACTGAGTGATGGCGAATGTGACGTAGTTAAAAAAGAACGAGTATGGACGTGACGTACTTATTAAAATCTATTCGAAACCGTTCTCTTCATCTTTGAATTATAAAATAACACGACATTAAATTGAAATTCGCAAAAGGCCGTTTTAATCAAAGTAATAATGGTATCATCATAGTATACTACTGACCCAGATTGAACACATCATGTTGCAAAAGAAATAAAATCTATACCTATTGAACTTACTTGAAATACCGTGCCGTGGAAAATTGCTCTGTGCAATTTGCTGCCATTTTGTAATCGATAATACACTTATGTGAAGGATGTTGTTTTCTTGTATGAAACGAATTTGTTAAAGACGTTATGCGTCAAAACTTACCATTCGTTATAAAGTTTTAAGTAAAAGTTACATTTATCAAAATGGTATTTAGTTTATTATGTCTTGTAATGTCGTTTATAGTAATATTTTAAAATAAGTTAATAAAACTATATAGGGTAAAAATCCAAGATTGATAAACAGAGATACGATATTCAGGATTTCTAAGTACTCACTCTAGAAACAGATTTATCACGTTAGATTGTATACCTTACAGTAAGTGTGAGATTTATTGATTACAAAAAACACGTTATTGTTTTGACGCCTACGTAGACCGCGTTTCGTATTTTATCTCTGTGCTTATTGTAGTAACATGTTCAGATAAAAAACTCTATTCATTTACAATGATTTATTTTCCTGTAAATTGTTTTGTTTTGAAACTTACTTTAAAAAATAATTTTAAATGCTTTTGGGACTAAAATTGTGTATAAAGCGTTTCGATATAGATCGAGGTGTACAGCAATTGTCCTGTGATTGTATGAAGGAGATGTCGTAGGGGTAAGCGAGCCCGCGTTGGGCGCCAACTCAGTACGGCCCACTCCCGCCCCCACGCTTCCCGCCGCCTAACGCTGCTTCAGTTTCAGTTGCACGCTTTCAGCCTTCGGAGTAAACCGCGTGCGCGTTATGTCACCCAACCTCCCGTCAGCGCTTCTTCACATGAATTTCGTACTTCTTTCTCGGTTCGTTGCATTTTATGCATGGACCACACTTAGACGCTTCTGTGCACTATTCATTCATTAGTCACAATAAGGTTATCACCATTTGTCACTGTTTGATTGTTATTTCCTCATTTCACTTATGTGGGGTTGCTACATCCATTATTTCTTATCACGGAAGTGATAGGATTGTGTGTAATGAATGTATCGTATCATTGAAACACTATAAATGCTATAGCTGTGTAGGTGTTATTAGTGGCACATGTAAAATTTAGATATTTCATAAATAGTTGAGTGTTTAGTATGACGATTTACAAACCAGTTTAGATATTGCAAGCCTACTAACTTAGTTCATGTGTGGTGTTATTAGAAAATAGTTTGTCCTAGATTTGCATATGACAAACTATTAAAAAATAGAATAAACATAATGATGTGAATATCCATTAGATTTATTTGTTATATTTTTTCATATACAGACGTATAAATGGTGTGCCATAAGTTTGTTGACAAAAAATAGTAACAGCTGATCGCTAGGTTCACGTTGGTAACCATTTGGTAGCGAGCAAGCGCGACGCCTCGCGATCGCAAGGTCGTTCGTATTGAGCGGTGCCGGTCAAATATTTAACGAACCGTACACGTTCGACCCATCACTTCCCTTCAGTCAAATTCACGGAACTCTTAGAACTGTCCTCATTTGTATGGCCTCACTCGATCCGGCCCCTCCTGATATTTTTGCACTCCGTCATGTTGAGTGTGGGTTGAAGTTGTATCTTTATTTCAATCAATTCCATTCTAGTCTGTTGTCATTTCTTAATTACTTCTTACGGTGTTTGTACCATAATATGACGTCACGTAAAACGCCACTACCGAATATTAAAATCGCACCCAAGTAACCCCGTTTGGTTTGGTTAGCAAATCACATAAGTCCTCCAATGTGAATAACAGTTTAAACTTTCAATATTTAAAGTGATCTATGTAAGATTTGAATTCGTAAGTTATCTGAGACTACATTTTATCCTTTAAGTTTCCAAAAAAGTTTCGATGTAACGTATAATTTCTCATCATTTAAGTTTTTCATGAGTTTTTGTTTAGTCTGCAGATCCTTATAACTTCTCTTTTATTTACAAACAGGTTTATAAAATCTGTTGTTGCGAAAAACGTAGGAAATCGATTTATATTATAGTGTAGTAAGAATTGACACAACGGTAACATATTGGCAGGTGGATGAGGGGTCACTTCGCTGGAGGAAATTAACATGTCTACGTGCCTACCACGTATCTGGGGCATGGCTGTCCGAGGATTGTCCCCTCTGGTTATTAAAAAGCGATCAATAAACTCTTTGATTGTATAAGAATGTAAACATACCTAAGTAAAAATTATTAAGCAAGCTTTTGAAAGTCGTTCGTGTTTTGTTAATAATTCTATTTTATGGTTTACAATTGCATTATCACTGTTTGACAAGCAGTGTACAGAAATGCGTGCATAAGGCTCGTTGCCAAGGTTACAGGGTGGGTGCGATCAGCTGGACTTACGTAAGGTGAGCTGGGACGGCGGGGTGGTACGGGGTACGCGCGGGGAGAGGTTAGGGCCGATCGATAGCTGTTTTCGCCCCTTGCTATCGCCCTGTCCGTTTCAGTGTATTCTCAACAAAACTTTTACTGCTCAGAAGGATCTTAACTAGTTACCCGAAACTTCTCCAACCCAACAAATGAACGTTTTCTATTCAATTGGGATTGGTAAATAAAAAAAGTAATAGCTACTTTTGTACATTCTGAAGTAATTCCAAGTATCCTGCTATTGGCTTCCTTTTATCAGAAAATTTTGTTAGAGTGAGAGTTTTATCGATTAACTTTATACTCATTCAATACATGTATACCTAATGAATTTAGGCCACGCTGTTGGTATGCAATTCTCAAAGTTTACATATCTAACTATTAATATTTCTAGAATTGTGATAAAATTTAAGAAAAATCTGTGTGATACTTGCATGCTGGACGGTTACAACCAGCCGGTGTGACGAAGATTGCCAACGACAAATGTGTTAGTAAAACGTATGAGTTGGCTTAAACAACATTTAGTAGGGATACTAAATTATGTATTAGTAAATAGTAGTATCACGAAACAGCTGTGTCAATTCAACTGTTTTTTAAATTAACTATTGATCTGATATGACGCTGTTTGTGTTGAATCCAGTCATGTTGCGTGACTGGTCTGTAGTAGTTATTTAGTAAATAGACTTCTATAAATCTTTCAATTAGAATGAAAATGCTGTATCCTATCATCGTATATTATTATTATATATCGTATCATTTTCGGGGTTTATGCTAGTTTTAGGGATGCTTTTGGTGAAAGGAAATACAGAAAGGTAGATACAGACAGAAAAAGCAGAAACTAAAATATGTTTTTTACTAGATGAAAGATAAAACGAAAATAAACAAATCTAGAATGTACTACACATTTACATTAAATATGTATGTTAAAGTAGTGATATAAATATAGATTTTAGTCGTTCATTTAATGATAACCGTATACTTCGTAACTTCGTGTACACAAAACATGAAATATTTATGTTGGCTGTAGTGCGCCTGATGATAAATTTATAAACTCACATCTAGTTATTGCTTTTTAAAAGTTGTAGGCGCATTCATACAAAATGTACTAGATAGTCGCTATATCGTTATATTTAATTGATGTCACGATTAAATATATGACAAGTATTTATAGTTTTATATTTCCTAGCACAACATAATCAAATGTCTATCTATGTTTAATGTATATGCTTACTTGCTCTCTAGTAAAAATATTTCACTTAGCAAATTTCTACATTACCTACCTGCAGTCTATTTATGTAGATAATACACAACAATTATGGATATAGATAAAAAAATAACATGTTTATATTGAACCCATTTTTCACAGTTAGCCATCTATCTTGCTCCTTTATTGTTACACTTGCTGGGCCCTAACTTTTTCTATCTTTGCAGTATTTATTTATGAGATTATTTAATTTTGCAAATTATACTTTGCATAAATGGTGTTGCTTTGCTTTATTTAAGTGGCTTTGGTTGTTTTTGCTTTGTTGCAGCTCGCGTTAGTAGTGGAGTGGTGTGATGTTGGTGGCGCGGTGTTAGTGCGCGTGCGCCGCGTTTCGTAGTGATGTCGTCGCCGGCTCGTGCGCCCCCGCCGCCCGTGCCGGGTCCGGTGCCGGCCGGCGCGGGCATGCTGCCCCCGGGGCCTGGCCCTTCGCGACAGCGCTCCTTAAAGGACCGACTTAGAGAAGGCATTACCGGACCCTTCCATTGGCAGTGAGTGCTTTTTCACTATACATGTTTGCGAACAATTTGCAGGTCTACGAGTCAGTCAGGCGTGTTTTGGAGGAAGTTCTTATAATGTAATATAGTAGCGTTTTTTAAATACATTGCATGCTTTGCATTTTTGGGTAATTATAAATGTAATAGGTGTAACACGTAAGTATATTTTATTATTTTTATGACACTAAAGGTGCGGTTCCACTATAGCTTGCATGCAGGGTGGTAGGTATAATAAGTACTAACGGCAAGTCATGATATTAGGTACATTGTACATATTTTGGCAACTTGCTGGAAACTGAACGTTTTCGTTGGGACACTATCAGCACTATGCTGTTTGATGAAACTTGTGATTAATGTTTGTGCGTAAAAATGTATAAAAGAACACTTACATTTTAAAATGCATACTTATAATTTTAACTAAAACTTGACTGAGTAACTTTGGAATCACAATTTAGAACTAAGCTAAATAATAGGTTCGATAGCCTAATTGTCCAGCGCAATGATAAGAAAAACGCGGTAAAGGTCAATGTCAACTGTAAACCTTAAAAATGTAAATCGCTTTTTAGATGTTATCAACGTAATTTATGTTGATGGTAGTCGTTTCTGACCTTAAATTACACAAAATTGACACAGAAGAGCCTCAAAGTATATCTGTTATAATAGCATCTTGATACGTTGTTTTATGAAAAATGTGATGTAGTAGCGTGGCGCTGCCCTAGTTGCCTGCAAAAAAAGAAAACTAATTGATTAGGTACCCGGTGGAAAGTTTCCAGTTAGTCCCCGTTTGCTTTTAAATGAATCGAATTGGAACTTTTACGTTTCCCTTATTTACGCTTCTTAGTTGTCCACTACGTTTCGTAATGAATATTTTGTTAGGTTATTTTTAACCACAATATTCTGGATATGGATAGCTTGATATCGAAACGGATTTTTTCAGATTTTATAGAAATCTATGAATAATATCTGTTTAAGTTTCTGATTTGCAAGCCTTCGTTGCAAATAGATAGATGGGCAATAACCTTAAACCTTATTTAGTTAATGAAATAAGTGTAATGTTAGTTTATAGAAGTAGGTACTTGTAGTATTCACTTAAAATCATTACACACAAACAACGACATATTATTATTATTTATTGTATGGTAATGTAAAATATTAATAGAAGAAAACTAATAGCTTTTTGTCTTTACAAACAATGGAAGATACATGCCGGAAGACATGTTTTTATGGAACGCAATGAAACAGGAAAACTTAAGTAAAGTATAAGTTGAACACTCCCACGGTCTTGGACACCCCCGACACCCTGTTCAACTTAAAACACTGTGAGCAACGCAACTATCGAAGTAGAAGCACTAGAAGAGCTTCTTACTTGATATCGATTGAGGAAATTATTAAGTTTTAACGCCAACTCTTGTTAAAGAGAGGAAAAAAACTGTTATAGGCGTGCGGCATTCAATTTGCTAGTCGCAGAGTGGTCTGCTGCCGCCCTCGCTCCGTGCTAGCAGCAGTGGCGTCTCGTCACCGGAATCCAATTTGTTCCCAGCTGGGTCGCTCAATTTGTGCGAATGCCTCACGGATTAGCCGCTTGTTGCCCTACGTTAACGTTATTTTTCTTTCTCCGTAGTGGAAATATTTTGCTTGGCATATTTATCGAAAGGTCAGAAGTACATTTCATTTGATTACAAACTGTCTGATTCTTGTTTATTACACATAGATACTATAACTAGTGGTAAACACTGTATTTTCCATTTTTTTTGTTATTAAGTATTAACCTTCACCGATTACCACATCATACCTAATATTATATAGACTGTGATAATATCAATATGATATATTTTTCAGTCTACTGATGTGTATCTACCAACTTAATAATGATATTTTAGAAGTACATGCCGACTTTAGACTTTCATAGTTAATAGTTAATTTCGCGAGGCAGAAACTATGATTTCTTTAATTAATTACATGTCAGTAAGTATGTTGAGCGACAGTCGGTCGGGCCGCAAATATTTGCCTTGTGCAACATTCTCTATCTTGGGTGTGTACATTACCTCCACCTACTGGCTCCTTATCTTCTCTCGAACAGCCTCAGACGGTAGCTCTGGCCTTTCAAACTAAATCTCGCTTGTTTACCGCGCCCCTTATAACGTGATTTAATTAAAAAGCTTGCAGCTCGCCTTCTCCACGCTGAAAAGTGAGAAATTACACCGCTTTGTCGACGTCTCGTTGCTCGTCTGCTTATATCATAATATGACTTTGTAGTTACACTTCTTGCTTTCCGCGTTTGACGTAATTTGTTTCGTGAATAAAGAAACAAGCCAGTACCTACACATAAATTACATGTTAATGCTAATGTAGTTATTTATTTGATAAAATTCCCACCTTATGTGGATTTGGATGCCGTTGGATTAAATATATTCCTTATTTCAATCTTACGAGTGTAAAATAAATATTTGGAACTGCTGAAACACAGTTACCCAAGCCCACACTCTGGGAATGTTGAACAATTGCAGCGAGCTAATAAAATGATTTCGTCGTGAATCACAATCAGTGTCAGTGCCTAGATTTCGTCGACCCAGTTTCGGTGAGCTAATTCATTCCCGTCAGTCTCGCATATTTGGCGGAGGTGCTGGAAACGGTAACGTTGCAGTGCTCCGTTCCGTTGTGCATGTCGCAGGCCGTCCTTGGCCGATATAAAACGTTTAAGGCGACAACACCATCGGCGAAGTGTGGGTGAGGGTGGACCGGTGCGCGGTGGAGGGCGCTACGGCGGATCACCCTGTCATTGTTTCCTTTTGTGCTATCTATTCTAAACCACCGGCGGAACTTGTTTGTGCTTAGCTATAGCTTCTTAGTATAGGGACTCTTACTGTTACGATGGACCTATCCAGTTATGTAAGCTTTTTATCACACACAAAGATTGATTTATGGTTGGAATCCATTATTGAAGATTTGTTATCTGAAATACTTTTCGTTTTAACGCCACTAGAGCGCAGTATAAAGGAAACTGAAAATTCCGCAGCTCTGGGGTATCTTCTGAAAAACTGAACATTCCGCAGCTGAGTAACTTCTGAAAGACACTTTTCCAAAATTAAATTAACCTACGATGTTTATGTTCTCGTAACTACATTTTGTTGAATTAACCGAAAATGTACGCCACAGTACCGTTCCTTTATTTTTCCATTCTTCAATGCTACGAGCATATATAAGGCCATTAATGTGCGACGTGTTGACAATACTTGTACCTACTTCATTGGAATATTGTGTGTGTGGCCAGGCACTATGTGTTTTGCAGGCGAGGATCGTGACGGCGATGGGTGCACGAGGCCATGTGATATTGTACCAGTAACTGTATTGTCACGCGTCGCCCGCAACACACACAACGCATCGCTTTGTCGTCGCATTAGCGCGTACAAATCAATTTCACAGCCGAACGTTTGCTGGCCACAAACGTATCTATTTTCCCTTTTCTTATTAGCATCTCAATATAAGTCTATCCGATGGCAAGTATTGTCTCATGTTGATTAACAACCCGTGTGTTCTGCAGCCGACAGATTTGGTGTCGCTTAGCTTCCAAGTGGAGAAGTAGGTACTTCGAGATGACTTATTAGACAGCTCATAGTTTGAGGTATATAAATATCCATTTGTCTTTTCCTGTATACATATAGATTTGGTATTGATATCAACACCTGTCGCAGCTTTGTCTGATATCAATTTATCGTGCATCACTATAGCTACATTTTCATGAATCACCCTCTTCAGATGAACGAAGTATTCTCGGAATACCTCAGGAAAGTGATAAAATATTACCCAAATGATGTGAAATTACACGATAAACCTTATCTCACAATGTTTTCTTTCCTGGTTTTAAATCTTAGTTGTGGGAGTAAATATGGCAAATTGTATTGAAATGTTTATTGATCATTTCAGTAACTGCGTAGTTGAGAGAGACAGATAACAGACAGATTGTCGCATAGTTAGATAATATAATAGTCGAGCCCCCGCTTTTTGTTTGTTCCATCATCATGTTTCTGTTTGGTTATTTCAAGTGAAAAGGATGAGATAAGTTTGTTATGTTAACAACTAGCGCCTTCCTAAATTCGGCACTGACATCTGTCGCTTTTGTGACCACTACACAAATATTTTCGGGAAAGGAATTACTTGTAAAATGTTCATCTTCGTAGAATTTTAGAGGTAGTAGTTCGTTTTAGTAGTACAGACGTCTTACTAAACTAAACCCCTGAGTCTGTTACCTACATAACACAAAGACGATACTTATTTTGGTAGGTACTTAATATTATTACACGATCAGCTATAAAATTGTACAGTATAAACTAATTTTTTTGTAATGTGATTTAAAAAATGTATGGAACATTTTGGGGTTAGAGGTGACTGTTTGACTCATATTAATAATACAGACTAAAACGTAAATTCAAGTCAATTATGTGACTTCATTGGCAGAATTAGTCTTTACGCACCTTGACGGATGCACTAATGGAGTAATGTGACCGTGCAAATGATCGCTCAAAACGCACAACAGCCGCATGGGCGTTTATTAGTACAATTTTAACATTGTTGAAGCGAATTCCGCAATTGAATCGTTTATGCTCTGCATGTAATTGAATGATTGGCGGCGGCGCCAGCTCGACACTTGACGATGACGGCGTGATGCTGCACAGAGCTGCATCCGACAGTAATGCATCACATTGTAAGCACGACTCGAGCACATCCCGTTTTACTCACGTACGTTATGCGGGATCAATCTCAAGGTGCATCGTCTGTTCGGCTATTCTGTCTTAAATTCAATGTTTTAATACCAAACTCTAATCTGATCATAAGAAGTCATTAACGCTAGGTTTCCAATAAGCGCTTATTAAATAATTTACTAAAAATACAACAGGAATATAATTTCTGTTGTAGAAATTTCACTTGTCCTTTAGCTACGATAATGACTTACTTTCAATATAAATATTACTAAGTTCGATTCTGATTTGTACACGAAAGGTTCTGTAGGAAATTAATGTTCTTAAATAAAACGAACCATAGAGACGATACAAACTAGCGATTATGATTGGCTATTAGTGATTGTCGTAGTTACATGATGTTGTTGTAAATATTTAGAATTAATTATAAGGACAGATGGTGAGATCTACTAATATCAGTTGTTAGGTGTATATGCTAAAATATGGGAAAGACCTTAAAATAGTGTTACTCACTGTCAATTTTGGTAATTATTTTTTCTGTGTTGTAGAACCTTGATACTAGCATTCGTTTTCTTTTTTTGGCTAACGGGAAGTTGCTCATAACATTTGATTTATAAATATGATACCCAAATATGCGAAATAACTATATTATATTTTTTAGTATTAAGAAGACTTCACTTTACAGATCCGCATAACCTGGTAACAACTTTATTTTATTTCCGAGTTTTCCTTCACAGATATGTGCGGGCCCCTAAAAATATCGGTTCGATTAATCAACTTTCGTTATCATAACTAATTTCGTATTGGTAATGTTTCCAAGATAAGTGTTGATTCCTTCGATATTATTTCGGCAGTTGATTGCAATACTTGGCTGATATGTTATATTGTTTTTTGTGGTAAATACCACAAACCAGTGGACTTGATTGTTGTCAAACTAAATAGTGCACGCATTACAAATGAGTTTCTTTTCAATCTTTACTGGGTATGTACTACTTTATTCTTTCTTGTTTCAATCTTATTTATAGTCATAAGGTCGGTGTGTACCTCTTGTAATATCTTGGATTAATAATTTTGGGACGGTTATCTGATAAGAACAAGTATTAAATTATTAATCAGTAACCATTGTCAGGCTCCTTGTCACGTACATTATGAACTTGATTCTGATTTATTTGTGTGAAATCACAAAAGATTTGAGACTAATGGCGCTGTCCAATGTTAATATTGCCTGAACATTTTCACGTCGCGACCATTGAAAACATGAGTTATTGAGCCAATTAAATGTTCCATTGTTGAAGATGCGTTATAACACTTGTATTACTTTCAAGAACACCAGTTTTGGTTGTGAAATTAATTATGTATTATGTTCAGTGAGTCAGAGAATGCTTCTTTTAGCACAAGTATAGAACATTCACATAATAAACATGTTCAATTGTTCATATTGTTTGTGCGGAAAACTAATGAATATTAATAGGTGACATCATAACTCATCATGTGCTAAAAGTGGATCATTCCCTGTTTATCTGAAATCTCTGAGGAAATTATCTATGTATAGCTGTCATGTGTGGCACGGGTTGTCATTAGAAACCTCTTGAGATGTTACAATACGATAGATGTAAAGATCCAGTATCAGGTAGATGATAAAATCATGGCTTACAAGTTGAGCATGAAATTTTCAAAATGCCTGTATATTATTATTACTCTAAACATAACTTGATAAATGGGTTAGCATCGCGTACTTACCTACTTTCAGGTGTGTCGAAATCGCGAAGATACGTACCCGGATATAAAATACAACTCTGATATATAATTCAAATGCAAAATAACGAAGAAGATGAAGAGGAAGTGTGGAGTACAGAGATCGAGTGAGTACTCGATCTTCATAAACATAACAGTGCGACCACTCGCAAGCATCCCCAACCTGACTCTCAATACATTCATGTTCAATAACAACAAGGGACCTTGTTCATATAATCAGATAATATAATTAACATTGTATCAGTCTAATTTTGATAATAGACTAACGTTTGTTTCTTAGAAACATATTTATCACAGTGAAGTAAGTAAACCTGTCAAGATAAAACCGAATGTGTGTACATACCGCGGTGCTATTGTTCAGCTGCTGGGTACCGCATCTTTATTTTAGTCATGTCATGAACATCTCTGAGGAAAATATCATTACCATATTTTTTTATTGTTACACAGAAGAAGTTATATGGTAATACACAGTTTTGTTCAGGTAAAATTAATATACGCGTGCGGAATTGGCTTTTGTTTGGTGTACCTACATTGTGTTGGAAAACCAGCGAAGCCCTTCCTCGGGCCTCTGACCGGAATCCTTATCAAAATCAACGAACTCTTGCTAGCTCATCGCTCACATGTCATGTGGATGTGTTTACTAGCAATTTTCCATGAGATATCTCATTTTTCTTTGTGTACATTTTGTGTTCATTTCGAGGTATTCAAACACATTTAATGTTTAATCTCATCAATCTAATTTTTATTCGGGAGCGAGCGAGTGGTGTTCTGATGGCGAATCGCAATGAAATCCGAGTTTGTTGATATTTCAGCTACGTAGCTCTGTCGCCGCCGCCCACGCCCCAACCGCCACCAGCATGGCTCCGTCGCTCCTCTAGCATAGCGTACGTTTGCTTTACTGCCGCATTGTCATGAATATTCATATCATCCAACCCGAGCTTGCCGAACAAATAGGTAAGCGACAAATATTATTCACGTAGCCGAGTGAATAAAACACTAAATTCACCAGGCGCTCATAAATCTGTAGATGTGAGTGAATTTCCATCGATAAAATTAAATTCAAGATCTTATGTCATTGGATTTTCTCTTTATTTCCGTGCAAATATGTAGCTATGTATAAACGAGAGCAATCTTGCTGATGTACCTATTTGTGTATTTGTGTTGTTGCGACAGTCGGTACTGTTGAGCCGTTGTTTAAGGTTGGTTTATAGGTAGGCAAAGTAAACAAATGTGTTGCAGTCGCACAGATGACTCGCAGTTGCAGTGTGTTTAATAAACATCTCAGTCGTTCTTCCTGATCGGTTATAATTACGTTTCTTTATTTACGCACCCTTTACAACATGTCTGTGCTGAGAGCAGTGATATGAATATGAAACCTGTCAACATGCTCTATTATCTAGAAATAATGCGCAGTAGCAAATAAGGAAAATGCAAGTGTAGTAAAAGTATAAGGCTGCTTTCTCATTGGGTTTCAGGAAGACGTTTTTTTAAGGGATTACAATCATTGAATGATTTATTCCGCCCGGGTCAGAGCAAGCCGAGGTAGCGCTAGAACAAAAACCACCCTGTTCCTACTCCTGCACTTCGAGCCGTAGCTCCGGCAACCCGTTAAGTCCTCCGTGGTTCGTATTCGTATTAGCCCTACCAGACCCCACCTGTGGTGGTCTGATCGCTCTATGAGACGCGCGCGGAACGCGATGCGCGGGTCTGGTTCTGATCGGGCGGCGAGTACTCGTGCTCACCGTCGGCAGGCCCGTATCAGGAAGACGCTTAGGGTCTGTTAGTCGAAATATTAACCGCTTGAATGCACCTATATGAGACACAATAGAAAATACATTGTGTCTTGCGTGGATCCGCGTTTAGACACACGAAAGGTTAACAATTGATAAAAATATTTTGTTTCTGTAGATTGAGATCAGGGCATCATTATTAATATTAAGTCTTGGAGGAGGTGATTGGCGCCCTGTTCCCCCGACTGTGGAGGGGCTTCACCCCTCCGTATATGACTCCGCCCCCTGCGGTGCCCGACGCGGGCTACAGCGACGACGACGATGACATCGTCCCAGAGGTGACCGAGGCAGAATTGAGAGCGGCGGTGCGCCGGATGGGCGCCAAGAACACCGCCCCAGGACCCGACGGCCTGCATGGCAAGGCATGGGTCCTGGCCTCAGAGGCTCTCGGGCCTCGATTGATTGGTCTCTACAGCGCATGTCTGGAGAGAGGCCAGTTCCCGCTTCTCTGGAAAGCGGGCAAACTGGTCCTCGTGCGGAAGACGGGGCGCCCTGCGGACTCTCCGTCCGCGTACCGGCCCATAGTGCTGCTCGACGAGGTGGGGAAAGTCTTCGAAAGAATCATTTCGAACCGCCTCGTCGCGCACCTGACGGACATTGGGCCGGACTTGTCGGACGGCCAGTTCGGCTTCCGCAGAGGGCGCTCCACGGTGGACGCCATCATGCGCGTTAGAGACCTCACGACGGGGACTGCAGTGTCCAGGGGTAAGGTCGTAGTGGCGGTGTCTCTGGACATCGCCAACGCCTTCAACTCCCTGCCCTGGAGCTGCATCTTGGAGGCACTCCGATATCATCGGGTGCCTACCTACCTCCGTCGTGTAATCGAGGCTTACCTGACGGACAGGTCCGTCAGCTACCCCGGTCACCGGGGCGAGTGGAACCGGCGAGAGATGTCACGCGGTGTTCCACAGGGTTCGGTTCTGGGGCCGCTCCTGTGGAACATCGGCTATGACTGGGTGCTGCGCACCGACCTCCCGAACGGCGTTAGCACAATATGCTACGCCGACGACACGCTGGTGCTAGCGCACGGGAGGTCGCACCAGGCGGCGGCCGACTTAATGGCGACAGCGGTTGCGACAGTCGTTGAAAGAATCCGGCAGTTGGGACTCGAGGTGGCGCTCCACAAGTCCGAGGCCATGTGTTTTCATGGCCGCGGGAACGCGCCACCTCCGGGTGGGTCCCAAATAACGGCGGGAGGGGTTACCATCGGCGTCGAGACGGCGATGAAGTACCTAGGACTCGTCCTCGACAGTCGGTGGAACTTCATAGAGCATTTCCGACGTTTGGCTCCAAAGTTGGAGAGGACGGGGGCTGCGTTCAAACGCATCCTCCCCAACCTCGGGGGGCCAAACGCCTCCTGCCGGAGGTTATACGCCGGGGTCGTGCGGTCCATGGCCCTCTACGGCGCCCCTGTTTGGGCGCCGAACTTGTTGCGGCGTCCTGCTCGGACGCTGCTCAAGTCACAGAGGGTCATGGCGATCCGAATGATCCGCGGATACCGCACGATCGCTGGGGAGTCGGCGAACCTCCTTGCCGGATTACCGCCGTGGGATCTGGAGGCGAAGGTGCTCGCGCGCGTGTATAACATGCGCGCGGAGGCACGTCGCCGGGGCGAAACTCCGCTGCCGCGCCAGATAAGTGCGTGGCGGGATGAGCTCCGGCGCGATCTCATGGCGGAATGGCAGCAACGACTGTCGCAACCGAGGGCTGGGCTCGCTGCCATTGCAGCGGTAAGTCCCCTCTTTGAGGAGTGGCTTGAGAGACGCTACGGCGTCCTCACCTACCGCCTGACGCAGGTCCTCACCGGACATGGAAGTTTCGGGAGGTACCTGTGTCTGATGGGGCGGGAGGAAACGCCCGGGTGTCATCACTGCGAGGACCGCCCTGAGGACACGGTGGAACACACCGTAGCGGAATGCCCTGCGTGGGCTGAGCACCGCCGTGCCCTCAGGGAAGTGATCGGCGATGGCGACCTCTCGCGTCCGGGCCTAGTGCAGGCCATGATGCGGAGCGAGGGGGACTGGGATGCCGTCTCCTCCTTTTGCGAAGCAGTCATGCTAGCTAAGGAGGAGGCGGGACGCGTGAGGCAGCGAAGCGCTGCCTCCTCGCGACCCAGCCATCGCGAAGGACACACCGGGCGTCGGGGATCGCGGGACGATCTCCGGCCACCGTAAGCGCGGGCCTGCGGACGGCGAGCATGGGTGGCTCCCCGTCCGACCAGAAACAGACCCGAGCGTACGGCGCGTCGCGTTCCGCGCGCGCCTCAAAGAGCCATCAGACCACCACAGATGGGGCCCAATAGGGCCGATGCCGATTCGGAGTCGCGGAGAACCTAACGGGTAACCGGGGCTCCGGCTCGACGTGCAGGAGAAGGAACGGGGTGGTTTTTAGTCAGTAAGAGTCTGACACTCCCTTCCGCCTCACCCAGGCGGGAGCAGTCATTCGATGATTTTCCCCCCTTAAAAAAAAAAAAAAAAAATCATTATTAATATTGCACAGCAAATCTCTCAGTTCACTTGCCCACACGATTCGAAGGATTAAGAGTACTATGATATCGGAACATGATATCTACATCAATGTGTGGTTCATTAACTGAAGGAATGTTACTAAAAAAACTATAATTATGAATATTAAAAAAAGCTAAGGGTGATAAATGTGAACACTATGCAACGTCTACGCAATGCGTACATTTTCTACTAATCTACTGCCTGCCTACATCGTACCTGCGTAGTAACGGTGCATAGCAATTACTACGCAGTGCGTAGAACTTCTATTAATCGACTACGCCTCGTAGCAGTTAGCAACGTAACGGTACATAGGAACTACTACGCAGTGCGTAGACCTTCTACTAATCGACTACGCGTCGTATCTGTTGCGCGGCGTAGTAGTGCGTAGCAAGTACTACACAGTGCGTAGACCTACTAATCGACTGCGCTTCGTAGCAGTTGCGCGTCGTAGCGGTGCATAGCAAGTACTACGCAGTGCGTAGCCCTTCTATGAATAAACTGCGCCTCGTACCTATGCACGGCGTAGCGGTGCTTAGCAAATATTACGTAGTGCATAGACCTACTAATCGACTACGCATCGTAGCAGTCCGTAGCTAATACAACATATTGCGTAGACTTTCTACAAATCGATTACGCATCGTTCGAGTGCCCGGCGTAGCGATGCGTAGCATGTACTACGCAATACGTAGACCTACTAATTGACTACGCATCGTAACTGTTCACGGCGTAGCGTTGCGTAGCAAGTACTAGTGTTTTTTTTTTTTTAAGAGGGGAAAATCATCGAATGTCAGACTCTTACTGACTAAAAACCACCCCGTTCCTTCTCCTGCACGTCGAGCCGGAGCCCCGGTTACCCGTTAGGTTCTCCACGACTCCGAATCGGCATCGGCCCTGTTGGGCCCCATCTGTGGTGGTCTGATGGCTCTTTGAGGCGCGCGCGGAACGCTACGCGCCGTACGCTCGGGTCTGTTTCTGGTCGGACGGGGAGCCACCCATGCTCGCCGTCCGCAGTCCCGCGCTTACGGTGGCCGGAGATCGTCCCGCGATCCCCGACGCCCGGTGTGTCCTTCGCGATGGCTGGGTTGCGAGAAGGCAGCGCTTCGCTGCCTCACGCGTCCCGCCTCCTCTTTAGCTAGCATGACTGCTTCGCAAAAGGAGAAGACGGCATCCCAGTCCCCCTCGCTCCGCATCATGGCCGTGTCCTCAGGGCGGTCCTCGCAGTGATGACACCCGGGCGTTTCCTCCCGCCCCATCAGACACAGGTACTTCCCGAAACTTCCATGTCCGGTGAGGACCTGCGTCAGGCGGTAGGTGAGGACGCCGTAGCGTCTCTCAAGCCACTCCTCAAAGAGGGGACTTACCGCTGCAATGGCAGCGAGCCCAAGCAAGTACTAATGTAGTGCATGAACCTTTTACTAATGACTACGCAAAAAAAAACCATTACGTGTTAGATCACACGTCGTCAAATATCCCGGTAAAAGTGAATCTGTTGTATAATTATCTGTAAATCTTGTTCTACAACGGTTTACATAAAATACCAATTTTCCGTTATCTACTGTCACTTGGAATTTGCACTTCAAAATGTTGACTTAAAATTTTATAATAAAGGTACGGTCGACGATTAAACTTTTTGGGGCTTAGCCAAAACATCGCAAGTTTTGATGAATACCGTCGCCGTAGACGGATTGCGACTTCCAATTAGTTAACTTAAAGTGTTATCCGAACAAGAATATTCGTAATCTGATGATGTTTTAACTGAAAGTGGTTAAATAGTTTTATGTAAATCGAACTTATTCTTATACTTATTATATTCTAACTTATACTTATTCTAACATAAAACTTTCAAAACTTACTCAACCAGAATTCCATGTATTAAATTTGGGCTTATTAGATACAATTTCCTGTTTCTGATAGTAGAACACGCGAACTTACAATGATGTGATTGCTACCACGTGAAAGATAGATCAAGACCAAAAGCTTTACTTGTAATCCATACTTATGTGGAAGGATAGAGCTGCTATACGGCATATGCTCTTACCACGGTTGCATAGAATCGACACTTGCGGACTTGTTCGATTAAAACTTTTTACGTTACTCTGTGTTCAGGTACCACTCGGTACTGAACCACAACACTTCACTTTACTTCACTTCACTACTGGAAGACTCAAATAAAACAATTTCTTGCTTATGAGAGAACTTAACT